AGAAAGAAGTTCCAGTATCATTATTCACAGATGACCTGATACTCTACATGGAAGACCCCCAAAACTCCACCAAGAGACCTCTAGATTTAATTACCAAATTCAGCTGTGTAGCTGCATGCAAGGTCAGCACTCATGAATCAACACTATTTGTGTACACAAGCAACAAATTCACTGAGCGAGAGATTAGGGAAACCACACCCCTCACGATAGCATTCAACCAAAATGAAATACTTAGGAATCACTCTAACAAAAGAAGTAAAGGATCTATATGTTGAAAATTACAGCACTCTTAGAAAGGAGATCAAAGAGATCAGAAAATAAAAAGACATCCCTTGTTCATGGACAGGAAGAACCAACATTGTGAAAAGGCCATACTTTCAAAGTTACTGTATAGATTTAATGTAAAATACCATTAGCATACCTCACAGATTTGGATGCTCAGTATGTGGTAGAGGCTGATATTTGGGCCTGTTTTGGTTTTATTTTAAAATGGGGAAAAATCAGACTTGAAGTGTGGTGGGTCACTGGGGGTGTGACTGTGAAGATGTGTTCTGGTCCCTGGCTCCTCCCTTCTCCTTCCGCCTCTGGCTGCCATGGATTGAGCAGCTTTTCTCCACTTTGCCCTTCTGCCACTCCCTTTGGCCTTAGAGCCAGCCAGCTACAGGGCCAACACACCGGAAATCACAAGCCAGTTTTGTCCCAGTGACAGGAAAGCGATTAATGCAGCTTCCCTCTGTAAAGCCTTTCTGCATCTCAGGTAGTTCTTTCTTGCTTCTTCATCTTCTTTTTCCAGAAAAAAAGTGCAGCTCACTGCTAGCATTTCTTTAACTTTTAGCAATAAAAAATGACTATAATTTGTACGTAGAAACACAACTACTAAAAACGTACTCATCTCTTTCCCATCTTGCAAGATGGCGGGTGAAAAAACTGAGAAGCCAGACACTAAAGAGAAGAAACCTGAAGCCCAGAAGGCTTCTGCCAGTGGCACTGGTAAAAAGGGTAAGGTGAAGAAGGCAAAAAAGTCCAAGAAGGGACAGCCCCACTGCAGCCGAAGTCCTGTCCTAGTTAGAGGAATTGGTAGATACTCCCAACCTACCATGTATTCCAGAAAGGCTTTGTACAAGAGAAAGTACACAGCTGCTAAATCAAAGGTTGAGAAGAAAAAGAAGGAGAAAGTTCTTGCTACCATCACAAAACCGG